ACCCACGATCCTTTGCGTTTTTTAGCGTGTGTTGTTATCGTCGCTTGGAACTCAATTCCCGCGCGTGCACAGGTGACGACCCTCCCGTTTTAATTTAATAGGAGCATGACATAGAACCCAATTCAACGAATATACACTTTGATTTAAGAGTATCGCCAAAAATATACTGTAAAACATGTCTTTTTAGCTAGCATATTATTTAGGCTTATTTAGCTAATCTGTAATTTCGCTAATTTAACAGAAAGTATATTCTCACAATGAGATAGTTGACACTTTAGCTAAATTAAAGGGCGGCAGTCGTCGCGCCTCGTTCTGTTCGATATGGGACTCATAGCGACGTATGCAACGCGTGTAAAATACATTGTTTATTTAAATGAAATTTGAACACGCGCTGCGCGACGTCCACCGCGCTTTAAGATTCTGGTAATTCATGCCAAGAGTCAAATTCGCTAAAATTGCATGCAGCTATTTCAACGTGTTCTTCAGTATGCGGTAGCTGCTGCTGCTGCTCAGATATCCATAATGTGTTTGTATTGTTGTTCTTTTTCTAGACCATTTGTTGCAACACACTTTGAGCCAACTCGTGCTCGTGACGCTTTCCCGTCATTCGACGAGCCGCATCTGAAAGCAACATTTGACACCATCCTCGTGCACCGGACAGCTGGGGTGAGCTATGAGAGAATAGCGTTATCCAACATGGAGAATATAAAGAATGTAACGGACGGGGACTGGAACGAGGCTCATTTCGCCACCTCAGTGAAAATGTCGACGTATCTCAACTGCTATGTCATCGGAGAGTTCGTTTGCAAAGAGAACAGCAACAGAACCCGTTACCAGGTAACCACAAAGTGGCATTTCAACGTAAAATATCGCGTGACATCTGGTGTTTTAAATCGAGGTCAAAATAATGAGACATGGGTTTGTAGGCATTCTCATACACACAGTGATCAATTGTCATATCTGATGATCCTTTACTATAGTAACCGCCTGCCAAGCGTAACCAATAGGAGAACTGTAAATATTTACAAATACAGCCGTTATTGCCCATATATCAGCAGTGGAAACACTTGCGGTTAAGTGTTGTGCAAAGGATTTAACGATATTTTACGATAAATAAAATCAGTGAATAGCGTGCAATAATATTCAACGGTATTGCGGTTCGTTTGCTTGACGGAAGCTCGGTTTGTGAATAAATTATGACGTCGTCACCCGATAAGTAACGTTCGCGAACTTACATCATTACGACGGGCGGGAGGAACGGGCTAGTGTAGATGGTTTGCGCTAGTCCCCGTATGTATCTCATGTAAATTCAGTTTATGAAAACCACAATCGCCCATCCCTGTCAATCTACAAACAATTAACATGCACCAGGGCTAAATAATAGTTGAACTGAGTTAGTAACTTTCCCGGGTAACCTTTGATAATCACCTAGGTGCCGAACAACTGTATAAATGACACGGGATGACATAGTTACAGTTCTTATATTGGTTAACGGTCACAGGCGGTTATTATTATTGAACAGATTTGTATCAAATAATTACAACACAAAATACTTTTTCCATCAGTGGCTAAGTTGATCATCGTGAACACACGTATCTAAGTTTACTTGCATATTTTTTTTTTATTTTTTGTATATTCAAAACACAACTTAGTTTAATATTCAATATTCACGACTATTGCGACAGCCCTGAAACGGGCCGCCTCCTAGTTATATAAAAAAAAAACTTGATATTATTAAGTTATGACAATTCGCTGCAGTCAAGTTCAGGTTCCCACTTGACCAATATATTCCTTTTAACACTGTTGTTAAACAGAGATACCTCTACGTATGGTGTGTATCTAAAAGTAACCCAATTCCGAGTTTTTCTCATGCTATTGCACTTTTTGTATCTAGTTTCGTGTATGGAGTCGTCCATCAACGATCAATTCAACACAGTACTCCTTGGACATTGGCATGGATACTCTGACATATTTTGAACACCTCTTTGGTGTAGATTACAATCTGGCTAAAATGGGTAAGTAAATATTCAAGAAAATACATGTACTGTTTAAATGCATCGATTCTGTGATATCAACTAAACCATGTTGCCTTAGCACATAGAATATTTGAATATTGCACACCTTTTCAGACATGGTCGCATTAACGGCATTTTCACCCGGGGCTATGGAAAACTGGGGTTTGATTCTATACAGAGAGACCCGGATGTTGTACCCTTGGGAAGATTATAAAACACCAGCAACGAAGAAGGGTGTCGCCCTCATCGTTGGTCACGAAATACTGCATCAGGTAACAATCAAAGCTATAACCCGTGTTGATCTCTGGAAAATCCGTCAACATTCTACGTGGCACACGTGACGCCTGAACTAATTCAAGTACCATATATACATATATGTATTTAAAACAAGCAGCCTGTCGGCTGAGATAGCTCCGCTGTACATTTCAATTAAAGAACTGAAGATATCATTAGAAAATAAACAATATGTATAGTATCAAATCAATGGGACTTGCTGTTTTCAACAAGAAGTCAAAAATATCACTTTTCACCAACAATGACAAAAATAATCATCACAATTAGATAATTGAAAATATCACCACGAAATTAACAAATCTGAAAGAGGTCCACATGTAGTACCTATATATGTAATATCAAAGCAATTGGAATTGCAGTTTTTAAAAAGAAGTCGAAAATGTCACTTTTTACCAAAAATTACAAAAATATTCACCAAAATTAGAAGAGTTGAAGATATCATCACAAAATGAATAAATCTGAGAGAGGTACACATGTAGTACCTATATATGTAATATCAAAACAATTAGACTTGCGGTTTTAACAAAAAGCCGAAAATATCACTTTTTACCAAAAATGACAAAAATATTTGCCAAAATTAGATAATTGAAGATATCAACATGAAATGAACAAACCCAAGAGAGGTCTACCCAAGGTACATATACACCAAGTATCAAAGCATTCAGGCTAGTAGTTTTCAAGAAGAAGTCGAAAAAGTAAAACATTGACACGGACGACGGACGACGACGGACAATCACTCATATAATAAGCTCCGCTCGACAAAGGCGACAGCGAAGCTAAAAAGTTATCTGCAGCACACAGAGGAATGTTTTATGAAGTACGCATTTCTAGCGTGTCGCGCCCGCTAGCGACTGAACGCTTATAAATGCCGCGGAAGAGACACACTGACCTATGTTTGTTTGTGAAGTCGTTCGTCATTCAGAAAATAACAAATATCTAGCTAGCAAATAGCAAAAAAAAAATACGGATGACTGTAGATCATAAGAATGTAAAATGCATGCCAGATAGCAATATAATACATTATGTGTTGTATTCAATAAATCAAATTTCAAATAGATAATAATGTAGTTATTGATTGGGTTGATATTAATCCAAGCGAGCCACGCAGACACGCTCAAATGAACTATCGGATCTGTAATACCAGCTCCGGGTCATCTCAGACAGATAATTGAGAAATCCAATTCGGAATTCAGACGTAATCTAGCGATGTAGACTTAATACCCCTGTTTCTACTGTTGAAAGAATTGAGTGAGACAAATGCATTGACAGAAACTGGATCGCACAGAGAACCACTGTTTGTGACATTGTCTGGAAAATTAAAAAGCAAAAATATTTCCGGGATTCGAAATTATAATGACAGATTGTTGTATCTGCCAATATGTGAAAATCGATTGTATGATTGTAACAAAATGAACAATATATACATACATAACCTAGGACATATAAATAACTTTGGATGGTACCGGGAATCATATACACTAATATTAGTGTCATTAGTTTACGGTATAAATCTATTTATGGATAAACAAAATACTCAGAATATATCATTTTTGCAATAAATTGTGCCCGCGGACAATATAGGTATGTTGACTTTTAAAAAGATTTGCAATTTTGTCGGAATAAGAACAGTTTTACCACTGGTGTCCATGGTGATTATATTATTCCGTATCTCAAATAATTCGTATAGGATACAACATGATATATAGCGACTGATGGGGTTCTTTTTTGTTATCCTGCCTTTTCCCTTAAAATATTGGTTTTAAATGTGCTAAAAACGTTGCTTTGCTCTAACATTGTGTTCAATCTACGGAGCTGTTCTAAAACAACAATTTTTGAATGATATTTGCTGTTTTGTGTTACCATAGAAGTATAAACCGGAGAATATTGTCATGCCATTTATGATGACTAACTTACTCAATAATTATGAGTAGAGACTTTACCTTAACTCAATAGTGTATAATCTGTATTTTAAGTGGTGTGGTAACTATGTGACAATGATATGGTGGGATCACATATGGTTGAATGAAGGATTCGCCAGCTACTTCCAACATGATTCTGCAGACTATGTTGAGCCACAGTATCACTTTGTAAGTATCGCTTTTGCTCGTTATTTGTTCAACTGTACGTACTATTACGAATAACAATTGTGAGATATTCTTCATTCACGCAATGTATTTCGTACAATTCAATACGCTTTTTTAATGAAATCACGGGTACTTTCTAATCACCAACACATATCTAATCCAAGCTCGGTAAACGTTTCAGTTTGTACTCTCATGCATGGAGCGACTACCTCTACCCTTTAAAATACAGAAATAATCCACTGTTAACAGCCTACATAATCTCTATCTCACAGTTCGACCAATTTTTCTTGGAAGACGAGACGTATAGTGCTATGCAGGTCGACCAGGATGGATCATCGAGGCCAATGATAACACCTGTTGGTTTTTACGAAGAAATAAGGAGTCTCTTTGACAGGATATCCTACGAGAAGGTAACACAAACAACAGCTATGATAGAGGGACTGTGCATTGCCACTTCCAGAGTGAAACATTCGGGAACTGAAAACAAAACTCCATATGTAGGCGTTTGATGCGTGACCCAATTATCTGATTGTTGAATCACTGTTATCATATATCAAGTCTTTTATAGTGCCAAGCAGCGTAACTTATCTTCTCTTTCCTATCTAGGGTGCAGCTATTATCATGATGATGAAGTCGTTCTTGGGCGAGGATGTGATGATGGAAGGAATCAGAAATTATATTAAAGATAACTTATTTTCAAATGTTCATACCGACGATCTATGGCAAGCTTTGTCCGAGGTAATACGCTCGTAGATATTATAAGATAACACATTCCATATATAATAAAAAACATATATTTGAATGTCACACATCCTCAAATAGCGTGGCCTCAAGCGTCCACTGCACTGTTCCTCCAGTACAAATGTGGGCGTGCTAGATTAAACATGGGACCATTACCAACCTACTTTCACATGTCATTGATGGTCATATTTGATTATACCAGGTTGACAATATCGTAAAATATTGATTCTTTATATCTTCATACTCTGGTTGCCCCCACCTCCGACAGGTTAGCCCTTACAACATGAAACAGATTATGGACACATGGACGTTACAGATGGGATACCCCGTAGTGAACGTAAACAGAGTAGATGACGTAGTGACTGCGGACCAAGAACATTTCTTAGTGGCCCCTTATGACGAGGTAGAGGACGACGAATACACAAATAAAGGGTAAGAAGTTTATCCAAAATAGATTCTGCTGGTTTAGAATGTGAATAGACGACAAAATGCAACTCATAAAGATATTGTGTTTGTGTTTTGTCGAGGACGTCAGTCAACACGACCTGCGCTGATATCAATCATGCAGGACAAATCCGAGACCGACACTTTGGACACTTTCAAGGAAATTCATCTGCCCCCCTTATTGTAACTGGCGCCAGGGAAAAACATCTCGTTTGCGAATACCGAAAATGTATTACTTGCTATATTGACACAGCGTGTGAGCCACGTGTAATTCAATTTCAACTTTCGTTCTTGGAATTGCAGTTACAAATGGTATGTTCCACTGACGTATACTCACCAAGGTGAGAAAGAATATATCAATCCAGGAATGGTTTGGATGAACCAAGACTCAGGTAACGATATATAACATGTAGACCCACGCCAACAAGGTTTTAGAAATCGATTATCTGTTTATATCGCAGGATATAAATTCGGTATGACACAAATTCAGCAATTGAATAAAATCACCGATTTTTTCGTCGTGGTATAAACGACATTAAACGATGCCAGCGTAGCTTCGCGATGAACAATCACATAGTTTTTTATCTTACCGTTTAACAGCAACTATAGAGTTTACGAACATTGATGAGGAACACTGGTACTTAGTCAATATTAACCACACTGCCTACATCCGGGTAAATTATGATGCTGAAAACTGGGAAAAATTGATAAAACAGTTAAATGAATCTTTTGAGGTAAGACCAGGACTTTTAGGCTACAAGCCTAAACTATTACTTGGTACATGTAACAACACTATGAATAAATATAAATAAATTAAGTTAATATGCTTAATATGATCAATCAATCACTATTATCAAAATTAGGTAACAATAGTTTGATGAAATATTAGTACATATTATTTTCGTCTTTTAAATCTCATCTATACAATGTTATTGTCTGTGCTGTAGATTTCAATATATCTTAACTCACTGTTATATCTATATATAATATCAAACCAAAAGAATCAATACCAATATCTTTAAACAAATGATAAATTGTTACGTGCTTTGTAGGTCTTCCCAATTCGAAGCAGATCGGCTCTAATAAGCGATGCATTCATACTAGGCGAAGCGCAACAACTTGACAACGTAATTGCAGTAAGACTGATGGAGTATCTCTATAAAGAAGACCAATACCTCCCTTGGGATACGTGTATCAGTGGGCAATACTATACGCTGTATTCGCTATGGAGAACAACAACATATGGACGATGGGAGGTAAAGAACAAATATGATGTGTAATAATAACAAACATGGGGATGAAAGAATGTGAACATTGCATTGTGTAGTACGATATCATAACAGAAGGAATACTGTTTGTCGATGTGTTCGGGCAAATTGAAATACCGATACAAAAATACAATTAATAGTACGTTCTAGTAAATTGAGGCGCATGCGCAGTTGTTAAAAAAAACCCAACAATTTAGCTTAGAGTAAATCATAAAGTAATGTCTTCAATAATTCTACTTTTAATTAATAATTCGAGTGATAACGGTCTATAGTGTATACTGCATGGCAAAGTTACAAAGCATTATATGCAAATTTAATTGTACATTCAACCGTGTATTAATTCACGTTGAGGGAAGTCATTCAGTTTAAATTACCACAGTGCCGTTTTAACCTATCGTGTTGCATATTCCTGTCATTTCAGAAGTACCTCCGTTATCTGCTTTCTCCGAGTTATGATGACCTTGGCTGGGATTTCGAGTACACATACAGCGAAGGCAATGAAGTTGAATAGTAGGCATTGACTTATTTATTTAAACACTGCGTGATACTGTGGTTTTATCATTTAAGAAAACACCATGCGTCACATAACAAAGTACACACACATGGCACTATTTCTGCATATTTGTATGCAAGTGTAGCTAAACTCTTATTGAATTGATTTTTATCTGACCTGCCGTTCATGCTTATCTGAGTTTTCAGATTATTCAGTAATATCATTGGCTCACATTCTTTGTATCAATGGCTGTTGACGTTCAATCAAGATAAATTGAATGCCTAAGTACTTGCTACACGTAAATACCTTCAAATATGTTCGATATGTCATCTACTGCCACATTCTACCGACGCTCCACCATGTTCCCATTTATTGATATTGATCAACTCTCTACAAGCCATTCAACAACATTGTTATTATTAAAATCTTAGTTATAGGCAGTTGACAACCGTCCGTGCTGCATGTTTTTACAACCACGTAGAATGTGCCGGTAATGCCACAAGTCTCTATCATCAATGGATGGCCTCGCCTGACGATGACAATCCGTAAGTACCAATCACCTACCAGCAACAATGCATACTCTTTTTTTGGCCGACAACAAATTTACTTTAAAATAATTAAAAAAAAATAAAAAAATCGATTGGAAGAAAACTGTAACTCTACACATTTGATCAACGCGGACTCATTCTGTGTTTCAGAATTGAACCGAACATGAGACATTCCGCGTACTGTACTTCGATTCGTCTTGGCAGTCACGAGGAGTGGCAGTTCGCATTTGAAAGACAGAAGGACGACGAAGACGAGGGCGGTAGATTGAGATCCGCAATGGCATGTAGCAGAGATCCATGGGTTCTTGTTGGGTGAGTAGCAATTATCACGATGATATTTCCAAGAAGAGCGTTGATTTAGCGTTGTATTATCGGATGGATAATGGTAGCACCTTTTGGAATGTCAGGCAGCAATACAGATTTTGATAACATCTGGTTAACACAGTAAACGCTGCTTTGTTTGACCAATATTTAAATACTAGCATTCGAAGCTTATGTGTTTAATCCTAATAGAAAACTACATTTTCTCACTATACAGATATATGGAAACTTCTCTTGACGAGAATAGTGGATTATCTCCACTCACAACTATTGGATACGTAAGAGATAACTCTGGGCTAGGTTTTAATCTTGCGTGGGACTTTACACTGGACAACTTTAATGATCTACACGCCCTGTAAGTAACCTACCCATCGGTTGTAACTACACTAGTACTAACAACGTGTTTATAACCACTCACACCACTCATCTAATTGGTATTTGTGTGAGGCCTTCTCCAATAATGCCTACAATTTGAAAAATCGGCCACACAAGAAGAAATAACTTTTACAAAACGGTTATTTTCTTCTTGTGCTGTCTTCCGCTAAACGTATACGTGAGGAAAGTAATACTTAAATTAGAATGACATTTTCGTATAAACGTATAGCTAGCAACATGTTGTACCCGTCTCCAGGCACAGCCTCACATAACCTTAAGTCGTGCTTCTTTCGTCGAATACCAAATAACCAGTTATAGTGTGTCGGATTGCCTACTACCTATAATATAATAATTGTACTAATTCTTGTTTCTTTGTAGATACGAAACCAGTGCCTATGGCCTGGTATTTAGCTTCGCTGTAAAGATGAACACCCAGGAGGATTTAGACAGCGTAAGTGTTATGTTTACCTTATAAGTGCACTGTGCACCATTTTCTCCCCTCACATTTATAATTGTTTCATCTTTCGTTTCAGTTGATGTCGTTTGGTTCCACGCATTACGACATGCCCGGGGAGGCCGCTGTCGGATTTTACGAAGCCATTAAAATGGTAAAAAATAACATCAACTGGACTGACCGAAACGCGGAAGATATCGAGAACTTTTTATTCGAAGTCACCAGTAGAATTCCATAATTTTCAAAATAACAAGTTCCATACCAATCGTGTTCCTTTGATCGTCATGGGTTCATTGGAATTGGTGTGGATATACGAAGTGCCAATATAATTTGTTCTGATACAAATCTGAATATATTTAGCAAGGACTGTACTTGTGTGCGCATTGAATTCATCGAGCCATGATGTCCAATTTCAATGATTTTGGGGGCGTTACAATACCGATTACACTAATTTCTCCGTACGCTGAAAAAACAACTGTCGCATTGGATATCGTTGGCGTTATATTACGTTGCCTTGCTGTCGGACATATCATCATAGGCTAGCTTCTGCTCGAATCGTTATGCTTATTTATTATCCATCAATAATGAACATTGCTTTATAGAATGATGCGTTTCTAAGTAACGGTTTGGTGACGCATTTTAATCAGGGATTATTATCGAGTCTCGTTTAGGATTTAATCTTTGCATAGGTACATATTTTGGACACGCGACTGCTGCAGTTTTTAAACATATGACTGACGTATTGTATGTATGCCACGTCCGATCTGAACAAGTACACTAATTATTAGTTCTCCCCCGCACAACGTTTGTAGTTCTCAGTTGACATCTGTTCCGCGTGACACCTCGGATATTAGAGTAGTTGCGGTTGGAGCAAATAACTCACCAATTACACATGGTTGAATTTTAGAATGGTGTTGAGCTAGTTACAAAATACAATTGTGAACGCTAATTGGAGAAGAAATGTCGAAATAAATTTGTATTATGTAAAATTTTAAAATAAAGAATGTTTCAGTTATATGACCTGTCTGTACGAGTATAATTTATCACAAACTAGTTTGATATTCGTGAACAATACAATGTCAACACAATTCGTATTTCAAAATCAATGCCATTGTAATTGGCATTTGGTGAATGGTAGTTACACGACCTAAAATATAAATTAACATGTTTATACTCAATATACCTAATATATGAATTAGTGTTGTTGATATCAAGTTGTTCTTGTTCATGTTCATGCGACTTGCTGCATTATACAATTCTATACTGGTGGAATATGCAAAGATTTAACTGCATGAACTATTTAATGTCTACCGTTAAATGTGTCGACGTAGCACTATCCAGAAGCATTGGTTAAACATTAGCGCTTAGTTACTATCTGGGTGTGGTGGCTTCGACCCAACCTTGAACGGACACTACATGTTTACATACATTTCCGCTCGAATAAGATAACCTACATTCACCGGGCACGACCATACATACTTGTATACAATCGCTTGTTTATTTTCTGGTAATTATTTTCGCAAAATATTTCGCAGTAACCCGGCTTTTCGCAATTTATACACACCCAAAATATTTGATTTTATTGTGTAAACAAGTCTGGACCATGAACTATACAGCAGTTTTACGATATCCCAGAGCATGTATCTTCAAGACTCTATGTGTATACATTATCGCTTTATTCGTTATAGTAGTGTTTGTTCACGATTCCATGGTGACATATTACATTCCTCTTCGGGAATACGTCAGTCCGTGATGTAATTATGTATGAGGTTTTTTTGTAAATCAGTCGTTCCATTTAATCCATTTAACTATCAATATCTGTTAACATGTCTTTGGTTGATTCCAATGAATTTATTACCACTTAGGCCTGTTTTGATAAAGATGAGATAAGAAAATGAAAAAAGTAAACAGAATTGTATAGAACGCATTCCTAGACATGACGGTTAATACAGAATACAGACGGATTTTTAATTTTCTTGCTGGTGCGACAATACTTAGTAAATGAGTGTGGAGCACAAGTTTGGATTTTAACTCATGCGATCTGTGTGTTCTGTGTCTCTGGGTGGTCTATACAAACATATAAATGGCACATGTCCTTGATATTTATCATTACAGAAGGTATGGGGTTTTCTTCTTCTGAATCGTGTTTGATAAAACCCAGAGCCTGGCAAAACGTAGCATATCAATTTGAATGATAAATAACACACTGGACTGACCTGTAATAGCAACGTCTGATATAGGATTTTTGTATGATACTGTTTTTTGTTTACTTTAAGTGCGTCTAAATGTTCAAAACCGTCAGGGAATTATGATAATGATTCAAATGCAAAATTGTGAATCTGTCCATTTCATTGATCACACCTCATACAAACGCGATGTTTCGTGACTAAACACATCTTCATTGCCGTGTACCATGTATTGTATGTTTTTTCCTACATATACCCCATTCACAGAGCACCCGTGTGAAAAAACAGCCATGGTTACTCTACCTGATGATATTTCTACCCGGTCGTAGTACGATGTACGAATAAATAAAACTACCTCCATTAAGGCGAGCGTTTCAATTTCACATGCATTATGGAAAACTTCTTACGAATTATCACAATTTCACCCCAGTATAATTGAAGCTTGCCTCACATATTATGCGGAATTGAGTAATCAATTCATAATAATAATAATATCAGGATTCAGTTGCAGACTCATTTGAGCTAAAATTAATATAAATGTATTATCTCACAGAAATTTACCATGTGGTTAGTTACTGATGAACATTGACCTCGATTTGCTCAGTTCACCATTGCAATTATTATATCCGAGTCCTCGATTCGTATCTATTGTAAAATACTTGCACAGTGTGCATCTCAAAATTGATCACATCTGGTGACAAACATAGAGACTTGAAAGGTGACTGACCTTATGTTTTCCCAGTAAGTGACAGTTGAATGCACTATTTATTGCCCACGCTTGTTGAAATAACTATTATGATTGTGTTAGTAGTGTTGGGAAACTTGAATTGCTTTAATAATTGCTATCACAAAAGTGCTTGTAACTATATCATGCGTATACTTATTTTCATAATTTTAGCGAGCGTATTCTTTCTCATTTTCCCACACTTAACGAGCAAATCACCCATTGTAATTACTAAAAAGGAACATGAATATCCCTAGTATGTACTTTGTTGTTACTTATCACGCACCTTATAGTCGAATACTGACAGAAATTCAAGGCGGAGGAATACATAATATAGGCTTCATTGGCTTCAAATAATATGCTTTATTGTACAGCGACGAGCCGGTTTACTGCAGTCGTCAACTTGAATCGCTCGTGTTGAGTGTTTATGTTCCTGATATTAGTTCAATCTACCTATTGTCACTGCTGTCTTTGTGGACCTGAACTTGTTCCCAAAGGCAATTGTAGCTGTATAGATTAGACTATCCACGAATACTCCGTTTTAAATATATGTGGTTGACCATGACGTCATAGCTTGCGCATGTTCATCTAATCACTGTAGGTCCGCGTTCAGAACACGCTATTTCGAGTCGTGAGTTGGGGAAAGTCAGTAACTTAGTGTGGCGTTATGAGGTTCGCGTCTTCTTACAGAGACAAGGCCTTTTTGACGTAGTCTTGAGTTCAAATCGGGTGTGTTGTGTGTTTGTATATATATTCATAATTATATTATGTAAATTAACGTATTTAGAATAGGATTCGTCAACGTGTGACAGAAGGGAAACATAAATGTAAGTCGTTAGAAGAATTCAGAAACTGTCGCAATGAACGGTAAAAAAAACGCGACACCACGTGAAGCTCATTTTTACATTTTCATACATAATATTATTATGTGAAAATCAATTATCAGCGGTTATCTTTGTACGCAATGTGATGCGTTTTTGTATATAGGTTCATTGCACTGTGATCATTACTATAAAAACACTTGAAAATCAACAAAAGGAATGGAAATAGAATCTTGTTAGTAAAACAATATTGCGTTGTAATAATCAATACAACACGTTAGATGCTGGTGAGATACTCATGTTGAAGAATAATCTGTTAACGAAGTCTTCTTTTGAATGGCTATGTATGTCTAACTGTGTTGTAGATATTTTAACTTCATGTATTTGTGAAAATGTTAAATATTACTTTTATATCACATATATAACGTTGAGCCTTCATGTTCGTCAAAATGTACAATTATAACGCATCTCATTTAAAACAAATTGTAGACTGTCGAACTTTTATTAAAAACTGCCAGAGAGCCTAACCATACCGTTGGGCCTGGTTGGGTGCCACCCGGTTCACTACTTAGTGGTCATTCACTATTATTCCATGCTGACTCTATGGTTGCATAACTAAATTTCTTTGAAAGTTTGAAGAAAAGCGTGTATGTCATTTCCATTGCGTGCCTGCCATTGCATGTTTACTTGTATTTTTTGCAAAGCTCGGTAGAAATTATTCGCTGCTTCAGTTGGCATGTTGTAATACTGTTGTCCGAACCCAATCAACTGAAATAATATAATACAAAAAACAACAATAGTTCAGTGTTAATTTAATCTGAATGGTGATGTTCGAATTTCGCATTCTGTTCACAATCTAATACACTAAGTAAGGAATATTGTTTGAGTCGACTTACCTCGTTCAAGTCTTTTTCTGTGTACATTTTCTCGGAAAACTGCCAAATAATGTCATATGCGCTTTGACCATACCTAGGGAGACACCGTGACGCAATGATATACATGATTCATATTTTTAAATGATTTTTTTTGTAACTACTTTCAAATTGTAAAATTTCCTCAACATATTTAGCCACTTATAATTTTTAATAACAATTAATTAAACTTAATTATGCATAATAAATCCAGTGTGACTGAAACTAATAAATTCAGAAAAAAAGCTGGTGTACACAGACAGAAAAATACGTTGCAATAATGGTTATATTTGAGCAATGGTGTAACATCGTTTCTTTCATTTGCACTGTAATTATATGTGATCAATTGCGCCCATCACCTAAAATGCATACAAATTAATCAATTTCACATCGCATAAATTACCCTTCATCATCTCGTTTGAGTGTTCCGGCTCTAATCAATGCAAACAGAAATACGTCACATTTATATCTTTTGACATATAATGAATGGAGTTCCATGGACGCGTTAAGTGTACGCAATATGTCATTATAGTTAATTAACATTATTTTGCACACAATTTAAACATTAGAGAAAGGTGATTCCATTTTGTGTGAAACCTGTTCAATTACATTACATATCGGTAATTAAAAACGTATTGATAAAACATCTAAATTATGCTACTTTGAACACGGATGAATACATTTAAATTCCAATATAGACTCTATTCTCCAATGAATTTAGTGGCCCATGGCATGTATATAAATTTAAGAAATGGTTATATGTATTTTTTGCATTATATCACGCTCTCAACGATATCCACCGATTTTTTTCACTCAAATCGAATGTAATTGTTATGTAGTTGTTGTAACATAATTTAAACGAAATAATTGCTCTAGCTCGTTGTCTTGCACGATTTGTCGAAATATTTTAATATATAATAACATGGACGGGAGGGATCTCTCTGCAACATGGAATCATCAACACTCGTCACTCATGGGGTTCCATGACCTAACAAAACTAAGATCTTCCCAGAATAATAACTCCGAGGCTAGGTGAGCGTGCTGGTGTTTAACAAAAACAATGAAATGCGAATATCCAACATAGTCCTCGAACATGGAATGAACTAAGTTCCGAGACCGACGTTTTAGTGGGAGGATGTTTTACTAAGTCAATTTGATACAAATGAACTAAATAAGATTATATGTATGTTTAGAAGTATCCACAGTGCGTACGCCTGAGCTCGTCAGAAAGAGGGCGCAGTAAACCACAGTGTAAATGTCCAATAACGGAAAGGGATAGTATATCCTCGGATATGTAATATTGCCTAATTTGACAAATAATACAGGACCATGATATACCGATGATGAATTTCAGTATGTTGTTCAGATAAAAGCCGTTTATTTGCAATATCCAATTTAGGAGAGACGTTTTCTGAAGAGTAAACTGATGGGTACAGGTATCTGTAGTACTGATGTTCAGTGTGTATATTGTGTGTTATGCTATATTTGATTTTCTCGTTACTTTTGCGATGGCCGCAATTGGTCAAGGATTCGTAATACTTACAATTCCAACAGATGTTGGAAGTTCTTGACTGCGAAGCGCCATGCCAGTATAAATCCTGTTGCCGATTTGTCACGGACATAACCGATAACTGTTCCGGTATCAAAATATTCAGAATGTAAGGATTCTTCTAAATACCTATAAGGAATGAATCACACAGAACTACATGTTACCACTACCAATAATGTACAATATTTATACGCGTATATTGTTCATTTCGTAGACACTCATATTGCGTAAAATGTGTTTGGTGTAAAACTTATTGTATTTATTATTCACCCTAAGAGTATCCATGTGATTCTAGAACAAGCCATAGATGACTGTAGAAGGTCACGGTCTTCGTGGGCACGTGTTTGCATATCGTATGCAAATTTCCACTCTTGGTCTCCGCCATGTCGTATTGCAGTACAATATACGGTATCCCTTATATCTGGTTCTATCCTGTAGTATTCAAAACACAGTTATTGTTAGCATATCCCTAATTATAGTTATCATCCTTGTCAATAAAAGTTTTTCATCCGTTATAAATAATAGAATGAAAAATAACTCAAACTTACGGATTGTTCTCAGGCTGGTCGATCCAAGATTTGTACCTCGCCTTCGCATTCTCAATACAGTTCCTCAAATTATTCTCGCACGCAACGCTGAGTGAATTGATCCGTCTGTAGCTAAAACATTAAATGTTACTCCTAATACGTTCGAACAACGAAAGAACGTATACACAACTACTTTGTAGAATTGTGTGCTTTAACGAAACTTTTGACAATATGAAGTTATGTAAATTTATCTACTTACTATTCCAATTCATTATCATCAAATTCCCATCCCAATGAATAGTAATTAGGGGAGACTAGATAACGGAGATAATTCTATAAATACACATATCAATGATTATCATGAGGTCATTCATTTGATTTTGAACAATGAACAAACTTAAGTTGGACAATATGCGTTGTTCGCATAATACATTTAATAAGAAATGTGACATTTCTGAAACGCATGGATCGAATGAGAGATACTATTGAAACAGTTGTATTAATCACAATAATAATATTGAATATACACCTACCTCGTAGAGACCATATGTTGACGAACGCCACAGCATGTACTTTGTATATGATTTCACATCAACAAAAGCCTGCCACGGCATATGTTCGTCTTCTTCACGAAAATACTCGATGACTTCCAATGCCACAACGTGGTCAAGGTGTAGAGCTTCACCCAGAGTTAATGCATCGTCCACAAGATGTGATCGACTTCTAACGGGAATAACCTAGACACAAATGTTATAGAGAAGCATTTTTTTGCTAGGGAACGAAAATGTGAAATATATTATTAATGTTGCTCACAAAATGCCAAGGCACAAGCACGAGAATTGCAATTGTGTTTAAATATTACCTCGTGTGCATAAGTGAGTTGTTTCGCAAGTTTTCGCCAGTTCTCAATGTCATAGTTTACCCGTATGTATGCAGTCTGGTTGATGTTCAATAGTACCCAGTCAGTATTGGTTAAACCTTGTATTTCAAATTCCACTGAAAGGGAATCAGAAAATAAACGTGTTCTGAAATGTGTGCATTAGATCAGCGATCTTTCATGTTTCTCGAACGTGCGTGATATCATTAGGTTATTACGAGAATACTGCAAAGTATACACGTAGGCAGTGCGGCGAACGTATCGGTCGACACGTGCTTACTTTGCGGTAATCCCATGATAACCTTACTACTATGTCATCACTTTCCTGCTTGTAAGTAATAATTTAATGAGTATTGGCAGTTTGGAATAACAACGTTTTGTGCAATGTGAACGTTTGCGTTTCTGCATCCGATGTGAAAAAAAAGAAAAGGGTTTGAAGTCGATAGACTTGAACGAGTCGATGTTGGTGGCGTTACGATAGTTTACCCCAGATAAAAAAATTCGAACGTTTGAACGAGTACAGATACATTTTGCGAATGCATATACGATTTTTATGCTATTTAATGTTTATGCTACTGAGCTAGGCGATTTGGTGTCGTACGCGTCGGTTCACCTCACGCACGCAGCACATGTTTACTTTAATTCATACTACATAATGTAGTATATACCATGTCGTGTATCCCGTGTTATTTCTTTAGTTTACATTCCTATGTTGGCAGCTACTATGAGTTTATAATTGTGTATGCTATTGTTTTCTGCACTGTATGTATAAATAATATGTATGTAATCTCATTACTTTTTCAACAAATAATTACTTACAGGAATTCTCTTCCAGCCACAACAAATTAGGATTTTTGAATTCCAGTTCCTGTTCATGAGTGTAAGACAGAGGAACAACCCATACGTAACTGTGGAAACAAACACACAATATCATCACACTACTAAACGAAAGGACCGTAGTGAATAGTGTCTGTCATTTCATTGCGAGTCACTACATGCCTGAAAATATTTAGTTCTAGTACACCAATCGCAATGTTGACCCAGTTTTTAGAAGGTTATACGCTTTATTTGAACGTCATATGTTTACATTTTTGCCATCCGACATGCGAATTTTTGATAACAAAGTTGATTCATAAACAAGGACTCGTACACTGCTATTTCCTATCAACAAAAGCAAACATGTACAACGCCGTTATTTTATCTTTGGATGCGAACGACCGGCTGTTGCCAACCAGTCACTGCGCATGCGCACGCGCACAAAACGTGAACAACTGCGACGGCCTATACATTCACACTCAGGTGGACCTCTAACATAACTAGGCCGTCCTTACCCCATATTAGTATAATGCTCGTCTTTCGGTTCATCGAAGGGATTTATCAAGAAATGTGACTGATAAGCTCTGAACATGGTCGTGGTTATTCTCGTGATGTTTATTACAGGAAATCCCATTTGCAGAACCCATGGGTCCATAATATATTTCATATCAAGGTTGTGTGATTCCTGTATCACCTATCATGAAATTAAACATACAAATACTATGAATGCATTTACATGATGATGTAAGTAATATCAGCGAAGCATGCTAAAAGCAGTGTTTTTTTTTTCTTCTACTGTACATACCTCGTTCATCGAAGCCCACAAATCGTCGGTAATCACTGAACCATACGAATGACTTTTTAAATAATGTCGTAAGGCATCTATTAGGTCTGGTTCACCGAGAAATCCGCTCATCATCAGTATTAAAGCAGATCCCTTCAAACAAGTGATACATAGTTTATGTGATTAGGACGAGGCTTCCGGGGAAGGTATGTGGTGATGATAGGGACGAATATAATTCAAGTTTGAAACGCGCAACATTATGCCGCTTCAAATCGAAGTGAAAATGTTATGTCGAATTTTCATAACTGTAGATTCATGCCATTAAAAAAACAGAAACTGATAAAATGGGATGGGATCACCGAGCAATTTTCAGAGGACAAAATTTGCATTTGATCATTTTTTTTTTTGCCATTGGTGAATATTATTATATCTAAAAGTATTTCTTCGTGTATTGGAATTGTTATGAGTTATTTGTAATATTTGATTTAAATTAGTGAGTTTTCCATTGTAATAATATAATGTTATTCAATAAGAAGAAATTTTATAGTGCAAAATTTTGAATTCGGCCCGAGCTTCCATAAATATATTAAATGTAGTTTATTAGTTACCCTAATTAATGAATATGCAAAAATGCGCGTCACAGATCATACAGATGTGCGATTAATGGACCATTGGTTATCTGAAAGTGAATTCTTGTGTTTTCCGTGATTAATTGTGTTTCTTCGTCACGCCGTTACCTGTTATGTATATACGCATGTATGTCACACTGTGACGTAAATATCGCGTACTTTTGCTCATTTAAAAAAAAAACTATTGATACCTTATCATAAGCCAGGATATCGAATAGACTGTTTATTTCATCATAAAATCCCGCTGGTGTTACGAGAGGACGTGAGTCGCCATACTGATCCATTCGCATCGCCCGGTAGGTGTGATCTTTTAAAAAGAATTGATCTCGCTGAAAAGAAGAAGTATACTTCTTAGCATATCTTATACACTACGTATTGGTAGTACTAACTCACGATCTTTAATAAGAGCAACAGCGAACAATGTTATTATTCTATGTTCGTGCAAATGACCGGTTCTTGACAGAAATTCACCGCGAACGCGCACGCGCGCAAAACGTAAACCAGTGATGTCATATGATTACAATTTTGCCAAGCAGCTTCGAAAGTGTGATGATATATATGTCGCTTGTTTTTCAGCACAGGTTTGCGACCAGCTGCGATAACATTGCCCATGAGTTGTTTTATTAATAATAACGCCTACATGTATATTTAATAAAAACAGCAGTGAACAACGCCGTAATTTTATCTTCTAGTGCGAACAACTGGTTCTTACTAACTAGTAACTGCATACGCGCACGGCCTACAGGAGGTGAATTGGCAACTGTGTGCAAAACATGTCATCGAATGTTAGCAAAGGCTTTAGACTGAATATTTTTATCGTGAAACCGAATCAACATTTCAAGCTTCAATCCCCTGTATAGCGGTTGCAATGATTACAATATCTTACATATATGATCTGTCGAAATCTGTTGATGATCTGTTGTTTAGCGCGCACGACAATGAACGAGTTAACAACAGACTGCGTTATTTCGCTGTTTTCCAGTGAGTTGACGTGAACTCCAAAGAAGCCATTGCATAGAGACAGCTGTTTCTGAATTATGTGAACGCTAACAGCAGTTACAAACAAGCTTCTATTATTGTGATTTTTGATAATCATGTGTTTGTCCGAATCCAACGTCTTTATGAATACTATATCGCATTACGTATTGCGCAGTGAAGTTATTATTGAACTGCACAGATAAAGCAACAACAACATAATCGTAAATATGCCAACCAATTCATATTCAGGTTCAACCCATAGGAATCCATATGATTCAAGATATGACGCGAATCCTTCATTCAACCAGGTATGACTCCACCATTCCATAGTTACCAGATTACCAAACCACTGATTAGTCAATAAATAAATAAATAAATAAATAAATAAATAAATAAATAAATAAATAAATAAATAAATAAATAAATAAATAAATAAATAAATAAATAAATAAATAAATAAATAAATAAATAAATAAATAAATAAATAAATAAATAAATAAATAAATAAATAAATAAATAAATAAATAGGTTATAATGACCAGCAACATGAAATGATCCAATTCAGATGCAACACTGTTCTTAACCTACACGTGTAACTGATTGAATAGCAGCTGTATACATTTTGTATATCTGATTTGTCGCATAACACATATAGCCACATTTAATAATAAATAGAAGTCCTACATTCATTTGCTAAGATGCGTCTGGGACGTTTACTAACTTAGTAGAATATACGTTAATTTGAATGACCGATAGTAAGGTTTGGGGATGGGGGCAATCATTTCTTGTAATACTCCAGTGGGCAATCAACACTATAAAAATCACTTGGTCATTAAGCTGAACTACAGACATTAATTTAATTGCATATACTATTTAATGACACTCCTATTTTATATTGTTAATTGCAAGGAACAATGACGCAGGATGGTCAGCGATTAACTATCATTACTAATGTTCGAATGTTACGATAAAAGGAACTGCCTACCATATGTGCTATCTCGTGTCCAACCAGCACCACTACTCCCTTCTTATCACCAGGGTTGTCCTCTACCGGGTCGTACAGCATGTATGGCTCTCTATAGAGAATAAGTCCCCAATTTTCCATACCAGTAGACACGTGGATTGGTAATGCAACACTGTCTGACGTAATATCAATATAGAATGTGTCATTAACAAGTTTATTTTCACGTTACCTGTTCTCAACATCCGGTTAATTAAATGTATTTTGAATATCACAACGTACATTTTGTTAATCATAATAATAATTATTATTGTTATAATGATGTAACTCACCTAGTTTTGGAAGTTGATATGAGATATCCCACTGCGTTTCAAAGTTCGTTAGGATATCCATGCCTATATCCAATGAGTATATGGTGGTGTTGAGTTTGGACGGCATGCTCCATACACGGAACTGAAAATTAATATTCAGGGCAATTAAGCTAATTCTATGAAAATTATTTGAAAATTACGTCATCATATTTTGCCCCTAGTCTTCTCACCTGGATTCCATTTTCTGTGTAGTCTTCCTTGCAGTGGAACTCACCAATAAAATAAGCATTGAGATACGTCGACATTTTTACCGATGTGTTGAAATGCGCTTCTACCCACTCGCCCCCGTTGGTGTCGGTCACGGTGATATTTCCGATGTTTGGCATATTCGAGAGAGCCATGCGAGTTGGGCGATGTACAAGAACGGTGTCAAAGGTGGCTTTCAGTGCAGGTTCATCGAAGCATGGGAATGCATCTCTGGCTCGTGTTGATTGGAACTGCGTCGCGGCGTATGACCTGAAACATAATAGCAGAATTATAATTATAATTTTGACCAATTTATTGTTTTATTAGTATGATTTTATTGCTTAATATGCTGTTGTTTGAGATGTTGATATAAATAAAACACGTTTTTTCGGCGAAGGAATTACCCAAATACCCCTTAGTTCACATTTAATAGTACGTACTAGAAACTCAAATCGAATGCACGCACGTACAGTTAATATTTCATTATTTCCTGCCAGATATGCCAACAAAGTTTTAGGTTGGAAATCAACTGTATAGAAGTTATCAATATCGTCGTCTCTTAAAGGGCGGTGGTCATCGCGCAGCGCGTGTTCGAATTTCACGTAAATTAACAATGTATTTCACACGCGTTATATACGTAGCTTTGAGTCCCATATCGAACAGAACGCGGCGCGACGATTGCCGCCCTTTAAATATATGAAACCCTGTTTTGTCAATTGTTCGTTTCCTAGCAACCTGTCCAGAATGACCGTCCTACATGTAGGAACGCTCCTCGAAAGAATACACACAGTTAATACTTTGTTTTATTTCTGTACGCCACGGACGATAAGATAACACTGACATGGTAACCGTTGGGGTTACATGATACTCTGATAAGAACAGAAACAACAACAACAAGACTACTTACTTCTGCTGACCATTCTCTTCGTATGATACATAGAAAAATCCACGCAGATCCTGTTGGTCAATAGTCCCCTCATACTCGAAATGCAACCTGTATTCATTGCCTTCCACCAGGTCATCTTTCGTACGAATAACAAACCAGTTGTATTTGAGATTTTCTTCTACGTTTACTATTTCAAGTTCATTCCCATTCTTGTCGTATATTTTAGAAGTACGTATTGCCATGAGTCGAACGTGAACTTTAATCTCGTTCGTGGTTTTTATACACAGTATATAGATATCAGTTTTACCGTCAAGTTTCAGAAAATCGTCAGCGTCCAAGTGCTGGTCCATGTAAGGTTTCAACCACACACGGTAGTGGAAGGGTTCGATTGTGTCTGGTAGCATACCTTCAAATTCGTCTATAACCTCTGGTATCTCACCTGGTTGTGGCATCATAACATCCTCTGTCTCCTCGCATGTTCCGTCCGATAAATATATTGTCAACATGACTGATAATGCAAAGACAACAACGACAAAACACGTTATAACAACAGCAACTAGCCTGGAAACGTAGCATCCGATTTGGCGTTGTGTGTGTTTTGACGTGTCGTGATAACTGTCCGTCATTTTCCCTACCAGCGGTACTGCACATCTACCTACTTTCGGTGCGACGTTCAATGCTGAAGTACTGTGCACTTATCTTCATGTTATGTTTATGCTACCTTGCCAACATTATCATAGGTGTCACGGTATGCCTGACACAAAGCATTAGTATATTTTCAATTTCACAGTGCCTGCATTGGGGTTGAAGGACATTTTGTTTAGTTCCGAGTGAACACAACTCTGAACATTACGGTTCTATTCAAACTTGAATATCGGCAATTTGAAATTCAACCTTTAGCTTTGGCCATATGTAATATCGACATAGCAAATTTCGTTTAACCATATTAGCACTACTATTAAAATGCAATAAACATGACCAGAGTTATCTACCATCAAACGATAATCAATCAATCAATCAATCATTGATCATTTCAAATCCTCAATAGACAAATGTCACCCCGTCTTTTCGTTTTATCTGATCGTGATCCAGGGTCACAGGACGAGAGGCGCCTCGGTGACATGTGGCTCTTTCGATAAAATCATCACCCCCCGTAAAATATCAACTTAGTAGTTGTCTACATTATTTTGCTATTATATTTCCAAAAAAAACAGAAAAAAATTACACAATACACATATAAACGCATCTGGCATTGCCCTGTTTATTCTATTCAAGTTAGATTTACTCCTCCGATATACGAGTAAAAACCGTGAGTCAGATTATCACCCTCAGCGGCGCCATGGGATTATTTAACGCTAGCCTGATCTCCTATGATTTACAATAACCGTATAAAACTTTTACAGCGCGTAAAGTTTAACTAATACTCTCCATAAACACGAAGTTTTAGTATGACAAAAGTCAGATAACGAATGTAATTAAAGAGACCCAGTTCTGTGATAAATGGGGTATATATACTATGTGATCGACGGAATCATTATGATTCCTTGAGGGTCGGAATTTGTATAGTTGTTCAACTGTAAACTAGATTAATTTGCCTTTTGCTTCTTTTAATTATATCCGTATCTCTATCTCCATATATAAATACATCAACGTCAATAATCATAGAACTAACTAGTGCGAGTATATGTATGTGTGTGTGTGTACGGGGGAGTTACTGATGTAATAATACTTACAAATCGGAAAATCTTACTCTGTTGTAACAGGATTGAAAAAAAAACATTGTAATAACGAAACTGTTCATTGAGTAGAGAATACAATTGGCGATGATTGGCGAAGATGAAATTGAATTACTTGTATTCATCCTTCTTTGAATTCCCTTGATTAATGTTGGGGATAATTGCTCCCAGGTTCGGGAAAATCCAATCTGATTAAAATCTGATGTAGTGTGCGGGCTTTAATTATTTTAGCTATAAACTTATTTTAATTTTATTTTTCATTACTTTTGTTATTAATGCCCTTTTTATTTATTATTTTACTTTGATTTTTTTAAAATTCCGCCCTACCTACATCTG